AATTTATTTTAAATATCTTATAAACATTTTGTTTTTGATAAAGGTAGACAAACTTATGAGTATAATGGATGGCATTAAATTTGAAGTCAATGATATAATATTATTGTATAAGGAAAACTATTCTGAGCGGAGATGGTATGTCGGTCTAGGTATAAGACATATTATATACTTATGATAAGTATGATAAGTAACTTATCTATGGTATTAAAAAAAATTGACCTATAATAAATTCCAAATTAATCATATCACAATATCCATTAGGTACTTATAACGGGTTATACATCAATAACAAACCGTGATATTATCATAGACATATAATAGTGTACTTTAGAAGTTTCAAGTACCCACGAATAATATTATACAATCACAATAAAAAAAAAGGTGGGCAAGTGGGTGTCGCTCTGCTGTACAGTAGGTTACAAGTGGGTCACTGTATAATGGATGGTATTAAATTTGAATTCAATGATCTAATATCATTGTATAAGAAAAACGATTCTGAGCGGTGACGGTATGTCAGTCTAGTATAAGACATATTATATACATATCTATGGTATTAAACAAAAAATTGACCTATAATAGGTACCCTATAATAAATTCCAAATTAATCATATCACAATATCCATTAGATACTTATAACGCGTTATACATCAACAAAAACCGTGATACTATCATAGATATATAATAGTACACTTTAGAAGTTTCAAGTACCCACGAATAATATTATTCAATCACAACAAAATAACTAAAATAGTTATTCTAGGTTTTTTAATATGTAATTTCGTCCAAATTTGAAATTAAAATGTCTGTAAAAAATAAGTGTGTTTATATATTTTTTAGATTTTTTGGTTACAGTATGAATTATTTAAGAGAATCTTTGTTTTAAATTTTCAACTCTTAGTTATAAAAACTGAACATTTTATAATTTTTTAATTCCAACGATTGATTATTTTCGAGATTTTGATAAATTTTGTCAAAATTCCAACTTTAAATGCTTATAAAAAAAAATCGTGCTTATGTATTTTTAAAATTTTTCAACTGATATTGTAACAATATATAAGAAAGCTTGTATTCAATTTTCAGACTTTTTGGCCCACCAAATAAAATTTTATTGACAATTATAAAAAAAAAAACTAAAAAAATTGAAAACTGAAAATGTCCCTAAACAGCTCAAAAAGAGTTAAAATATTTTCAAAATTGTATGGTGTATAGAAAATGATAATTTAAACATTCAGTGAAATTTTCATGTATCTTCAGTTGTTCGTTTTTGAATTGCAACAAAATAAAGAAATCGCTACATGAGAAATCGAGTGAATATCCAATGTTGTAAAAATTTTAATTTCAAGCGCTCATAAAAATTTAACTTGACTGTCCGGTAGAGATTTTTTTATTGATAAAGGTAGATAATCTTATAAGGAATCTTGTGTTTCATTTTCAAATCTTAGATTTAAAAAGAAAAATTTTTACGAATTCTTAACTCAAAATAATTTGCTAATTTTCGTGATTTTTCCATATTTTGTAAATTTTTGAACTTTAAATGCTTATAAAAAAAAATTGTGACTAAGGATTTTTAATATTTTTCATCTGCCTTTGAAACAACATATTAGGAGCCTTCTATTAAATTTTCAAGCTTTCGCAACCAACAAATAAAATTTTATTGATATTTCTAGAAAAAAAACTAAAAAAAAATGAAAAATGAAAATGTCCCTAAACAGTTCAAAATAAATCAAAATATTTTGAAAATGTTATCGTGTTTAGAAAATGCAAATATAAACAACCAGTGAAAATTTCATGGTTTTACGGTCATTTGTTTTAAAGTTACACCAAAATCCAAATTTGATTTTTTGGAAAATCGATTTTGCGTAAAAATTCCCGTTTTTCCTTAATTTTTATGTTGTTTTTCCCGGCGCTTGTGAAAACTAATGGATAATGTTTACTTTTGACCCCCCAAAGTACCAACTAGATTCACTTTCCTATCAGAAAAGGTACTATTGAAGAAAATCGAAGCACTTTTACTGTCCCAAAACGTGATGACAGACACAAAAATATAAATAAAAATATATATAAAAATATAAATAAAAATATAAAAACATACATCATTGTAAAACCAATACATTCATCGCTCCGCTCAGAATCTAAAACTAAAATAGTTATTCAGATTTTTTAATATGTAATTTCGTCCAAATTTGAACTAAAAATGGCTATAAAAATAAATTGTACTTGTGTATTTTTTAGATTTTTTGTTTCAGAATTAACTACTTACGTAGAACCTTGTTTTAAATTTTCAATCCTTAGATATAAAAGTTGAACATTTTATACATTTTTAACTACAAAATAATTATTCAATTTTAAATTTGATAAATTTTGTCAATATTTGAACTTTAAATACTTTTAAAAAAATACTGTGACTAAGGATTTTATCAACAATCATTCGTTTTTTAATTACAACAAAATAAGGAAATCGCTACGTGAGAAATTACTGTCCTAAAAGGTGATGACCGACACAAAAATAAAAAACAAATAAAAAACAAAACACACATCATTGTAAAATCAATACATTTGTCGTTTCACTCAGAATCTAAAATTATATTGATTTTTCAGTCAGAAAATATTGTAACAACTACATTCTTCGCATCAGTGGCGTGTATAGGGGCCTAGGGGGGAGGCCCCCTAGGCCAGAGCCCTTAGTGAAATTGCACTTTCAATTAAAGCATTGCTTGTATAATGTATATCTACACTGTTTAAAGTTGTTCACCATGATTAAAATCGATTTTGAGGAATCATCAAGGAAATGTTAGATTGTCAGGAATTCTTTTGATGACTTTGATGTTAAATTTATAGTAAGATAACATTAAAATATATACCTACCTATATATATATATGAAACTGTCAAACTGTTTTTATTTTTAAGAAAGAATTAAAAAACTAATTTTACATATTATTATTAAATTTCTCAATTTTTATTAGTATTGTATATTATGTCATAATTATAACCACCTAGCTCCCAGAGAAAATTTAAAGTTATGGCTATGTTAGTCGTACTATGCTTGACTAGTAATAAGTTAGCCCATAGTGAAAATAATTCCTATATACACTACGGGTATTTGTTTTAAGATATAATTTCTTTATTCTAAACCATGGACGTGACGATTTGATGGATGCTTTTATCTAGTCAAAATACTTATTTCTACTAATTATTTCTCCTATAACCAATATCGACCATTTATAAACAAAAATAAACTAAATCTCAAAATTCTTGTTTGAGCACATCTCCAGGACATATCGGGTCCAATTGTGCATCTACGGCTTTAAACTATAAAAATATTTGATTTAAAATGACATAAATTGATTACACGTGTAATGCATACCAATCTTTATTTAGATCTATTATTATTAATATATTATTATATTATATGTGTTTTTTTCAAATTAGTTGTTTTTATATTATGAAAACATAAGATTTAGTCTTATAGACTCCTCCCGAAAATGTTTGCCAGCCACGGCCTTGCATATACACCTATTTGGCTATATACAACAGCTGCAGTTACTCACAAACGATTTCTTCGCAGAGTAATATCGTAATATTTTTGACCATAAAATTAATATATCTATTATCTTGACGTAGGTATATTATATTGTTATAACACGAGTATTTTATAGTAAAGAAAAAAAAATTATTTGGTGATCTCTCTCGGCGAACAGCGCGAAAGTGAAATTTACAAATTATTTACTCGCGTATATGTTATATGGTAATATGACGTGTACCTAACACGGTTCGTACTCGTAAGACAATCGAACGATTTCCGAACGTCACCACTTCGTTTGACGTGGGCGTAACGCGTAGTGTACTACGGTAGGTACAAAGGAACTAAAAAAATAAATAAATTATTGTCATTGACTCGCGCCCTCGTTAATAACAACACGTCGGCGAAAGTATGTACCCTACACGTTGATACACACAAGCAAGGCTCGGCAAGTTAATGATTTTTTTTAACTCAGTCAAGTTAAGTTAATATGCACCAATAACAAAAAGTTGAAAGTTAATTTAATTATAAGTTAACTCTGTTAAATTGAAAGTTATTACACTCTTTTAGTTAACTTTTTATTAATTTTAAAAAAAAGTTGATTTGTTTATACAACGCTAGCGTACCTTTTAAATTTTTTTCAAATCCAAAACTAAATTATAGACTATAGCGTTTCTACTTTACACAGTATTTCCATATAAGTTAGATTCGATAGATATACATGTTTAACTTTAAACGATATTTTTTGACATGAAAACGAAATAGACCGAAATAGTGAAATGTAATAAAATTAAAAACAAAAGAAACTAACTTAACTTACTTCTTAAAATTTAATTTAATTCGTTAATTCCAAGATAATCGAAAAAGAAATTTACTAAGTTAACAGTTAATTTAATGAAAATCCAAAAGTATCTATAGTTAAGGTTAATGCCCAGCCTTGCACACTAGTGTATAATGTTACACACTACACAGTATTGTAATATTGCCGTTATCACTATATATAAATTAATATCATTATATTATACTATTATGGCGGACGAGTCGAGTTTGCATAATCTCGAGGGTGACAGTTGCGGCGAACAGTGGACCGCGGCTGCAATAAGACGTATAACCATTATTAACCAGTAACCGGTGTACCTAATTACATTCTTGCGGCGGCGGTGAACCATCGCGCGCTTTGGGAACCACTGCTTCAACGGCGGCGGCGGTCGAATTCCTCGGCGGCCCACAAGACGGCGACGAGAGGATTGTGACCGCGACCGTGTTGAGTTGAGGAGGTAGCCGGGGGGGGGACACTTTGTAGAAAGTGGTCGCTCGACTCGGTTCGGTACATAATAATATAATATTATTATTATCTACGCGCTTTAATAATAATAATAAAAGTGGCGGTAGGTACCTCGGATACCTATTATAACCGGTGAGACGGACCTGTGGCGGGGCCGTACGACAACAACAATAATAATAATAATAATATTCAACATGGCCGACGACGCGGCGTGCGCTCGACGCGAGGTGTTCGCCGCTCAGTAGTTCGCGATCGCGCGCCCGAATACGTCCGTCCGCCGGAGATCGCGTGAAACCCGTGCGCAAGTGAAATTATATATATATATATATTGTGTTTGTGTTTTGTGTTTGTGTTTTTGTAGAATTTTAGAATTTTTCGGTTTCGGCCTCCGTGACTATAAGTCTGGTTCACGAGTCGAAGACGCGCCGGCGGCGGGCCGTTTCCGTCGGCGTTCTCGACGGTCGTCGCCGTTATGATTATGATGCACCGGCCGACGGCCATGACGAAGAAGACGACGACGGTGATGCACCACCAGCTACCGACTGGGTCGGCCGGCCGAGCGCGATGAAGTCCGCCGCTTGGATCCCGGCCGCGGCCGTCGTACTGGTCGCCCTGTGCGCCCCTCGGCCAGGTCAGTAAAAACCCTTTTTTAAAAGAACTTTCCAAGCACTGTATGTACTGTACCATCTGTACCTACCCACACTTAAGTCGACCTCTTAGGTTAGGTGTTGAATCGCGTAGAGTTCAACACGTCAAAAATAACGTTTTCGGCTACTTCGCTCGTTACATTGCAGGCGTGTAACTGTGGTAGGTGGGTATGATTATTATAATATAACACAATGTGACAGAAACGTATTATTGTGTTTTTAGATTGGTTTTCGGGGGGGGGGGGGGGGAGATGTTGATTAAGGTATCTATTGGAAAAATCGTTTTATATTGAAAATAAACGAGGGGTTTTTATCCGAAGTATAGGCCAAACATCGTTTACCCGCTTAAGATTAATAGTATATGCCTATAGCTGATCATTAACGGCGTGAAATTCAACGATTCTAGTGGATTTACCCCATCATAAGCTCCACTAATTAATGTGAACTATACTTCATATTCTTGCCATGGATGGTTTTCTCCAAACCTATCCAATACCTAGGTATTATAATAACTATTTTTATTTTCTGCAACCTGCAGGTGAAACCCTTAACAAATAGTATTTTCGTTTTTCTCGAGCCAACAATAGTCCCTAAGTGAGGCCCTCTTAAAATTTCAAATTTCGGAAAATCTTTTCTTGGTGCACCTTTACTGCACGATGGTACTAAGATACACGAAGGTGCCATGTACTTTTCGAGGTTTTAGCCATCATGGTCTTGACCGTACGCCGATTAGTCAGTCAGGTCACCTTTTATATACCTAATATATGTATACAGCATAGGCGCAAATTGATTAAATTTTTAGGGGGGACTCAAGCCCCCCCCCATAGACCATATTGCTTAGTACCACCGAATATAAAAATTAGTACTAAATACTAGATTTTGAACTGAGGGGACTTGACCAAAATTTGGGGGACTAAGTCCCCTCCCCCTATTTACGCCAATGGTATACAGATATGATATTACGGTAAAACGCTGCAGCTCGCCCTGTATAATTACAGCAAGGTGTTCAAAAAAGTGTATGATAAATTACTGTACGCTCGCCGCTCGGTATGGGTACTCCCGAAGAAAGTGCCTCAGAGTTTTCGACAAGTCACGCGCACACTGACTAGTATAGGGTGTAGACTCCAAGGGTTGAACCGATACACCTAGGTATAAAATAGGACACTCCGAAAGCAAGTCTCCCACGAAGATCTCCCCGCGGAGCACTATGAGATCGACGCGGCCATCATAATATATTATAATATTATTATTATTGTTATAATGTACGCCGTGGTTTTCCACTATACCATTATTATAGGTATCTCTTATAGGTACAGTCCATAGGTATTATTAAAATTGTGCTTATTATACACGACTGTGTCGGTGAGGTCAAGGCGCTGGCTATGGGTATAGGTGTTTATATTTTTCATTCCAAGCTCTTTCCTCGAAACCCATATTATTTCATCTGCTGCTGGTCTATTGTTATACTACCTATTATAGACTTAGCGGTTTGCGTAACGCCACCCGCGTAGACAGGCCTCGTACTCGTTACACGGTAGAAATCGTGTTATTCCCAATTCCAACCCATACAATATGTACTTATGACGCGATTTATCAGTTAGGTATACCTACTTGATTGTGCTAGGAGGACTATTGTTGTGAAACAAAATCTCTAGGTACCGATGCCCGTCTGACAAGAGACTTGACGAGTGACCACAATCGCACAAATCTCTCAGTGGCGTATTTAAGGGGTGATGTAAAGGTAGATCCCAACCGTATTTTTTATTTTAAGACATTATTATGTTTTTTTTAGAATAAGCTTAAACATATTATAATTCCTATTCATAAAAACAAAATTTGTTTAAAAATTGCAATACCCAATAGGTATTTCACATATTATTGTAATACATAATACTATGTGGTAATATATAACATAGAACATTATACTTATACACACATAATTAAATAATAAATGTAAAATCAATAGGTAATCGCAGTCCACCGATCTCACCATTTGCCATCACTTGTTAAGCAAGGTCCACAAGATAATAGACTATACTATTACAATTTTACAGATAATAAACCTATCATATATTTTAATAGTTTAAAGAGCAGTCTGAAGTCTCTACCGATATGACAATATTATGATAGTTTGTTGATGTTGTAGTTTTCTTATAGAGCTAACAGACGCTCACGAAGGGCTTAAATTTCATAAAAAATAATTTTTTCTTACACTAATGACGTTTTTTTTAGGCCAATTTAAATGCCACAAAATTCTTATTTATTGTTCATATTGAATAAGTTTCTTCCCATTTATCCCCCCCTCCCCATTCAAAAGTGATGTACACGTCACTGGGATTACTATCATTCAAAACTAGAAAAACACTACCGCATATATAATATTGTACTGCAATTATTATATGTATATTGTACATCGTACCACCGACCGGACTCACCGCAAAACGTGTTCTAACTTGTGCGTTCTCGGAATGTCTAAGTCCGGGCATTGCTTAGCATGAAATCCGTTTCTAGAAAAATTACTTATTTTAGACAATATGAAAACTATTCGCGGTCAATCAATAAGACTGATTCGAGCAAAGAAAGTCGCATAATATTATGCTATCGTTAATGCGTTTGGATTTTAATAGTTAAATTATTATAAGTACCTATAATCTATATAGGTAATATGGTTATGAATTATGATCCATTAACGTTTCTGTCCGATAAGCCAATTGCGATTCGTCTATACTATTTATATGCTAAAATGTTTATTTAGGTATTTTTTTGTGTAGGTACTTGTAATGTGGCATTCCTTAGAATTTAGATAACTTCCTAACTCGCTACTTATATAATATGGCTTGCTGTGATTTCCAATATCGACGAAAAATGAATCTTACACAAAGTATTGGAAAATTTCTGAAAATTGTATATTAATTTGATTACCTGTGGTTTTTTAGATTCTGAGTGGAACGATGAATGTATTGATTTTACAATGATGTGTGTTTTTTTTTTTAAATTTTTTTTTGTGTCTGTCATCACCATTTAGGACAGTAAAAGTGCTTGGATTTTCTTCAACAGTACCTATCTTTTCTGATAGGAAAGTGAATCTAGTTGGTACTTTGGGGGGGGGGGTCAAAAGTAAAAATTTCCCAGAAGTTTTCAAAAGCGCAGTGAAAAACAAAAGAAAAATTAAGGAAAAACGGGAATTTTTACGCAAAATCGGTTTTCGAGAAAATCGATTTTGGTTTTTGGTGTAACTTTAAAACAAATGAACGTATATACATGAAATTTTCACTGGTTGTTTATATTTGCATTTTCTATACACGACAACATTTTCAAAATATTTTTGATTTATTTTGAACTATTTAGGGACATTTTCAGTTTTCAATTTTATTAGTTTTTTTTTTTTATGAATATCAATAAAAATTTATTAATTGGTTAAAAAAGCTTTGAAAATTTAATTGAGGGCTCCTAGTATATTGTTTCAAAGGCAGATGAAAAATATTAAAATCCTTAGTCACAGTTTTTTTTATAAGCATTTAAAGTCCAAAAATTGACAAAATATGGAAAATCACGAAAATTAGCAAATTATTTTGAGTTAAGAATTCATAAAAAGGTTTTTTTTTTTAAATCTAAGATTTAAGAAATAAATGTCTATAAGAAAGTCAAATTAAATTATTATGAGCGTTTGAAATTCAAATTTTTACAACATTGGATATTCACTCGATTTCTCATGTAGCGATTTCCTTATTTTGTTGTACTTCAAAAAAGAATTACTGTAGATACATGAAAATTTCACTGAATGTTAAAATAACATTTTCTATACACCATAAAATTTTGAAAAATGTTTTGACTCTTTTTCAGCTGTTTACGGACATTTTCATTTTTTAACTTTTAGTTTTTTTTTTCTATAAATATCAATTAAGTTTTATCTGTTGGGCCAAAAAGTGTAAAAATTTAATACAAGACTCCTGATATACTGTTAAAATATCAGTTGAAAAATATAAAAATACATAGGCACAATTTTTTTTTATAAGCATTTAAAAATCGAATTTTGACAAAATGTATCAAATTTAAAATTAAATAATTATTTTGTAGTTAATAATTTATAAAATGTTCAACTTTTATAGCTAAGGATTGAGAATTTAAAACAAGATTCCACATAAGTAGTTAATTCTGTTACCAAAAAATCTAAAAATTACATACTCGCAGTTTATTTTTATAGTCATTTTAAGTTCAAATTTGGATGAAATTACATATAAAAACCTAGAATAACTATTTTAGTTATTTCTTTGTGATTGTAATATTGTATAATATTATTCGTGGGTACTTGAAATTTCTAAAGTACACTATTATATATCTATGATAGTATGAGGGTTTGTTGTTGATGTATAACGCGTTATAAGTACCTAATGGATATTGTGATATGATTAATTTGGAATTTATTATAGCCTATAGGTACCTATTTTAGGTACATTTTTTTTAATACCATAGATAAGTATATAATATGCCTTATACCTAGACTGACATACCGTCTCCGCTCAGAATCGTTTTTCTTATTCAATGAATATCATTGAATATCATTGAATTCAAATGTAATACTATCCATTACACAGTGACCCACTTGTAACCTACTGTACAGCAGAGCACCTTTTTTTTAATTTGAAATCCATGTTTCAAATTAGTGGTTCACCGAATATTTTTGACCGAGTTTCGAAACTCTGGTAGAAAAAAATGGCACACGATTCGCGGATCACTATTACTGTTTATATCGTTTAGATCTGATTTCAAAAACGGGTGTATAACTCGTGAAACCGATCGTAATTTACACGGACCAAACTAAAAAAAATATAATTAATATTAATCAGCCACCGCGTACGTTTTATTCGAAAGTATACGAATATATTATTATTATGGTAATAAACACCGATTCGTATTTTGCAAACTCGCAAGTCGCAGTAGGTACCTATAATTCTATATTTCATCGATTTTACGTACCCACTGT